GACAAAACGCTGGGTATCCACACAGAACACTCTTCTGCCATGAAAAAGAATGGGCACCGACACAAGCACCCATGCTGCGACCTGGGTGGACGTCTCAAGCGTCCGTCCCAAAAGAACACGACCATGACCCCACTCGGGCAGTCACTCAGAAGAGGGAGGGCCAGAGACCAGCGTAGATCATCGCTCATCTAGAACTCAGGGAATGAGAGGAGATAAAAATGGTCTAAAATTGTGAAAGTGGCACATTTCTATTTAATATCACTGATTTGGACAGTCTATGAGTAAATTGTAGAGTATGCAAATTGTATCTCTATAAACTGTTATAAAAATCCCACTCACACTCAACTTCACCTTCTAACACAAAAGAACAGAACTTAGCTTCAAGCCACCTGGACTTGGCCGTGCACTCTCTGGCACTCCCCTGCACCTGGCCAGCCCCTCAGCACCCTCGCGGGCTGCATCTGCTGGACCTGTGCGCACCCTGCTGCTGTACATCTTGGGGGACGCACCTCCCCACCCCTCACCGTGGGGAGCTGGAGCGAGGAGCAGACTGTGACCTGAGAGCATGCTGTACGTACTGAAGCCCTGCGAGGACAGCGAGGCTCCCACACCTGAGGAGACACCAGAGAAGCCATGGGCTCTGCAGAGGGGGCAGGAGCCCCAGCACAGAGGGCTGTAGGTCATTCTGTATTTTCACCACAGCAAAAGAGAAGCATTAAAAACCACTAAATGTTGGTACTTCCCAGAGGAAAGAAGGGCCTTTAACTAAACTTTTAATAACAACCAGCAGGTTCTGTACAATCCCACATGAGCCTGGTTCTTCTGACCGGTGTGTGAAGCTAATTTTGTCCAAGCGTGAAGTTAGCACATCTCCCCAGAATACCATGGCTGCTCAAGACTCAAGAGACAGAAAATCAGGTAGACAGACCATGAAAGACATGCACACAACAACTGAATTATGGAGGCAATCTAGGTGCCCTTCAACAGATGAATGGATAAAGAAAATGCGGTATGTCTACACAATGGAATATCACTCAGCCATACACCGAAATGAAATCATGGCATTTGCCAGTAAATGGATGGAACTGGAGACTATCATGCTAAGTGAAATAAGCCAACCCCAAAAAACTAAAGGCCAAATATGTTCTCTCTGATATGCAGATGTTAAACCACAATAAGGGAGGGTGGAGAAGAGAGAATAGACGTTCACTGGATAAGACAAAGGGAGGGGATGGGGATGGGAAAGACAGTAGAACGAATGGGTCATCACTTTCCTACGCTCATGTATGAACACCTGACCAGGGAAACTCCACATCATGTACAGCCATAAGAATGGGAAGGGACACTCCACGTATGTATGACATGTCAGATACACTCTGCTGACATGTGTAACTAAAAAGAGGTACACAAGGCCAGAAAGTCTAGAAACAGGGCAAAGCTGGACCCTGACGTGAGAGCACACTGCTGCGGGGAGACACTGACGACACTCTAGCAGAAAGCAGGGAGCAGGCCTGACTGCAGTCCCTCCCTGGGCACACACAGACTAAGCGCAGCACTGCTCCCCACACTGAGGACGCGTGGACCCACTCTCCCAGGCTGCCGTCTAGGACAGACAACATGCCGTAGGACACGACGTCCTGCTGGAGACTGACCTGCCCAGCCAGGGGTCTCACTGATGTCTGCCCACTGCCCTGCAAGCCTGACAAGTGTGCAGCAGCCTGCAGGTCCAGCAGAAGGACCACCTGGTCACAGCCTGTCTCCTGGTCCAAACATAAGGAGAGGGCAGTGAGGAGCACATGTGAAACTGAGGACGAGCGATGGTGGGCAGGGACGGAGGCCCGGGTCAGCACCCCGCCTCGACCCAGAGATCTGTGTCCAGGGCAGACACAAACCTGCTTCCTGGACAGGCACTTGGACCCTGAGGACAGCCCACCCAGTGTCCCAGCCCTGCCTCTGCAGCAGCTCTCCTGCACCACTGGCAGCAGCGGGTGCTCTGCAGGAGAGGGCCGATTCCTGCCATCTGGGCAGGTGACTCCACGTCCCCACCTCTCAACCCTGCGCAAGCCTCTAACTTGCTGAAGCCAATTCAACACAATCAAAGAGACACCGAAGACTTTGACACTGAGCCCCCACGGCACCTGCGGCTCCCATTCTTGCACTGAGAGCATCTCCAGGCGTATGGGGCACACACAGGCCTCATGGCCAGCCAGACCAGCAATGGCCACCCCACCCGATGGACAGGCTAGAGTGGGAGTCACTGTCACTTTAAGCCACTAAGTCTTGGGTGGTTTGTCACTGGGGAGGACAAGACTGACTTATAATCAGACGCACTGAGCTCTGGCTCCCCGTGTAGGTGCTCCTCAGCTGGTAACAGTGCAGAAGTGCCTGTCCAACTCAGGGCTCTGGGACAGCTGCTTTTCCAAGGGAACTCTCTAGTTTCTGGTGACCGGTCAAGTATGTCAAATACCAAAGATGATAGTAATATTTAATTAATAGAAACAATTATTTCAATTTATAACTCAAAAATAAATGTATGCTTTTTCCTTTTAGATCCTAGTTTTAGTTGATACAGACTGTTAAGCAGGACAGAAAAGATGTTTTCAAAGCAAATCCTAAATAGTGCAATTATTTTTCTTTCAGTTTCTAAAAAAAATTTTAACACACATGTTAACAAGCCTAGACCTTAGTGAATAAATATCTTTGCCAGAGGGATGGCTGCATGGTGGAAATTCTTTCAAACATTTTGATTGGAAAAGATTTGGGAGGCTGCTGTCGTGGCCATGCCTGCAATCCCAGTGACTCAGGAGGCTAAGGCAGGAGGATTGCAAATTTGAGGCCAGCCTCAGCAACTCAACGAAGCCTTATGCAACTTAGTGAGACCCTGTCTCAAAATAAAAAATAAAAAGGGCTGGGGATGTGGCTCAGTGGTAAAATGTCCCTGAATTTAATTCCCAGTACCAAAACTAAATAAATACATAAGATTAAGATTTGGGAGCCCATGACCTATTTCAAAGGAGAGTGATCCCCGAGCTGCCAGAAGTGCACCAGTGCTAGCCCTCCAGAGTTCAAAGGTCATCATTTCAGCAGACTTTTGTGATGAGACAGTCACCACTGCCCTAATAAAATGAGATTGGTTTTCTTCTCAGATACAACCTTATACACCAGGCAAGGTGGCACACACCTGTAATCCCATAGACTCAGGAGGCTGAGGCAGGAGGATTTCAAGTTCGAAGCCAGCCTCAGTAATTTAGTGAGGCTCTAAGCACTTAGTTAACCCTGTCTCAAAATTAAAAATGAAAAGGGCTGGGGATAGAGTCAGTGGTAAAATGCCCCTGGGTTCAATCCCAGTACTCCCCTACCCCGAAAGCAAACAATCAAAAACAGCAACAAAATTTAAACGAAAAGCATTTGAGTCTCAGCACTAGCCACCTATCATCCAATACTCCTCAAGAGGAAGGGGATTCCAGGGAACACTTGCCCAGGTGCCAGCAGAGGACATCCTGCGGGCTCTCTCCAGCCTCCTAGCCCTCCCCTGAGCTCTCTGCAGTAGAGCACTGCTCATGGCCCACTCGTAACTCAGCCCGCCTCTGACTTTCTGTGCAGGATCCTGACTCAATAGACACCTCTAAACACAGACACACCTCCTGAGAGAAGTCAAGATTGTTCTCTTGCTTGATTTCTGTGGCATTAAAAATAGGAAAAGCTTTTAAAGATGTTACTTTAATTCAATATACAAATACTAGAAAAGAGAGAATGGATTTCTGTATTACAAATGAAAATACATTAGCAATTTTAAAAAAGAACATTTGTCCTAATATCACTTAGAAAAGCAGAGAAAATGTTTTCTAACATACCATATGGGTCCAAAAGAAAACAGTAAGCAGGGCGCAGTGGCACATGCCTGTAATCCCATTGATCTGGGAGGCTGAGGCAGGAGGATTGCAAATTTGAGGCCAGCTTGGGCAACTTAGCAAGACCCTGTCTCCAAAATAAAAAAGGGCTGGGGATATAACTCAGTGGTACAGTATACCTGGGTTCAATCCCCAGTATCACACGCCCCTCAAAAGGAATAGAAAATAGCGTTACTGAAGTGTGTTTGTGTGTTCCTCTGTGTGTGTGTGTGTGTGTGTGTATGTATATAAAAATAAAATATTTACATATATATAAGTGTTACTTAAGTATATATGTATATATATAATTCTTTTTTTTACTATGTCCAGTTATTTTTGCCAACATTATCAATACAATCTATAATTAGGAAATTTTTTCAGAATAAAAAAAAATTTCATTGCTGACCTGGATAAAGAAGTTATATGCTAACACCATGATAACACCTCCTGTATTCTGGGCTCTCACTTCCCACCAGCCTCCTGAGAGGAGAAGCTGAATCTGCATCCAGACGTGGATGTGACCCACCCAGGCAGCCAGGTGGGACCGGTCCACATGGGAGCAGCCTGGCTGCAACTGTGCCCTTCAACAGTCTTTTTAGCCAGCCTCTCGGAAGAGGAGAGTGGAAAGACCAAATCCTAGTGGAACTTCAATTGAAAGAAAAAAAGAATACCACTTTCACACTTCAGGAGAACTCAGTTTCAGTGTTTCCAAGGACTTCACTGAGTGTTCATCAAAGCCACTCTTGGCCAGCTTGATAAATGTACAAGACCTCGGTTGGGATGTAGCTCAGAGACCCAGTGCCTGCCTAGCATGTGCAGTGCCCTAGGATCACTCCCCAGTACTGGGCAGGAGGGGGAGTCAGGCCTAGTGGCAGATATCATTCCAGTGACTCAGCAGGCTGAGGTAGGAGGACCCAACTTTGAGAAAGCCTGGGCAACTTAGCAAGACCCTATCTCAAAAAATAAAAAGGGCTGGGGATTCTAGCTCAGTGATAGAGTGCTTCGGGGTTCAATCCCCAATATGGCAAGACAAACAAATACACCAACAGAGCAGCAGAGCAGAGCTGACCAGCACTGGCCTTTAGAAGGCCTCCTACATGCACCCCTTACCTCAGTGTCAAATATCTCCACAGTGTTGTCCAGCAGCTTGACTCTGATGTGCAGGTGCTTCTCCTGCATTCTGGGTGACAACGTCTGCCCTGGTTCGAGGGTGCTCACTCCCATGGGGGTCTGGGTGCTCAAGCGTATCCCTGCAGACTGCAGGACTCTGTACGTTCCTTCTATCTCCCCCATTCCTCCTCTGTCAAAAATGAAGAAAATGCTAAATAAAACAAAACACAGCAGAGAATTACTACTTTAGGTATTATTAAAACAATGTAAAAAACAATCATCAGGCACATGGGAACCTGAGTCTTCTTTTTTTTAAATTTATTTTCTGGTTGGACACAATATCATCTTTATTTTATTTATTTATTTTTATGTGGTGCTGAGGTTCGAACCCAGGGCTTCACACATGCTAGGTGAGCGTTCTACCGCTGAGCCACAACCCCAGCCCCTGAGTATTCTTTCTGCAACTTCTGCAAGTCTTGAATTATATCAAAACAGAGTTAAAAAGATTATCTTTGAGCAGGACACGAAGGCACACACCCATTCCAGTTACTCAAGAGGCTGAGGCAGGAGGATTGCAAATTCAAGGCCAGTCTGGGCAAGTAAGGAAGACCCTGTCTCAAAATAAAAAAACAGAAATGTGTTGGGGATGTGGCGCAGTGAGGGAGCTCCTCTGGGTTCAGTCTCCAACACCCGCTGCCCAAAATGTGTGTATATAAATATATAGGGCTGGGGTTGTGGCTCAGTGGTAGAGCACTTGCTTAGCATGTGGTAAGGCACTGGGTTTGATTCTTGGCACCACATACAAGTAAATTAAATAAAGGTCCATCAACAGCAAAAAAAAAATATTCAATAAATAAATAAACATTCACACACACACCCACACACACTTGGGCTGGAGTTGTGGCTCAGAGGTAGAGCGCTCGCCTAGCATGTGTGAGGCCCTGGGTTTGATACTCAGCACCACATAAAGTAAAATAAAGACACTGTGTCTACCTATAACTAAAAAATAAATATTTTCAAAAAATTGTATATGTGTGTGTATATACATATATACACACACACATATCATATCTATCTATATGTATTTTACTCACACACATGAAAGTGCAGTATAAATAATAACAAATGTAACTCTCAATAATATCGCTCAGGTACTCTGGAAGCCAGGTATGTATATTAACTCACTGAACACCTGAGACCCAGTTAACAAGTGACATCTTCAAAACATCTTGAAATTAACAGAAGATGTTTTGAAGATGTTACTTTTATAAATTCTATCTCAGATGTATCTCAGTAGTAGAGCACTGGCCTAGCATGCACAAGGTCTCAGGTTTCACCTCCTCCTCTGCAAAAAAACACACACTTCATGAACTTCCTATCCCCACTCCCTTGCATGCCAACTAAATTGCTGCAGGTCTCCTGGCCTTCTCCTTTTTGTCAAGACAAACCTAATCAAGGACTTTTTACACTTGCATCGTTTGAAAAGCCTGTGGCTCACTGGCAACCAACTCCTACTGTGCACTTAACCCTGTCCCACAAAGCCCCCTTCAGACCCACCTGTGGGAGACAGGCACATGTGCACTGCATTCATCAAGCAAGAGCACACCACTGGGGAAGTGGAAAGACAGCAGGAGGAAAACCCTCAGGCACGACATCTCTGCCAGGTGTGTCTCTCTTTGATTCCTCCAGAAACTGCTCAAAGGCTCTGGTTCCTACGGATATATCCTCATCTAATAACAATAAAAAACCCTGTAGAATGTCCTTTCTTAAGCGTTGGAAAATTCAGCTCAAAAACTGGCGGAGGGATTGGGGGATGTAACACGGGGTGCCCACAGAGGGGAGGCTCAGGAGAGTGTCGCTGGCCTTTCTGCTCACTTTTTCTGTGCTCCTAACACTGCTCTTTTGTCTTTTATGTGTAGACATTTTTAGTATCTTTATTACTTATCTTTATGTGGTGCTGAGGATTGAACCCAGTGACTCACATGCGCGAGGCAAGTGCTCTACCACTGAGCCCCAGCCCCAGCCCCTGCTGTTTTCTTTTCTTTTTTGTAGTTACAGATGGATAGCATGTCTTTGTTTCTAACCCAGTGCCTCATGTGCGCTAGGCAAACACTGTGCCACTAAGCTACAGCTCCAGCCCCTAAAACTGCTCTTAAAAAAAAAAAATAAAAATAAAGGAAAAGCCCACCAGGGAACACAGAAATGACAGAGACACCCAGGCTCTTGCTCTTCCGCTGGGAAATCAGCACGCGGCTCCCTGCAGAAAGCACAGCCCCGATCCACAGTAAAGGGTGGTGTGCAACAAAAACCCACCTCCCTTGAAGACTGAAGGTGCCTCCACTAGGAGGATCAGGAGTCAATCTTCTAGACTGACCAAAGAAAGCAGAACACCTGACGTTTTCTCTGAATTTGTCCAACATGCCCAAGACGCTCGGGGTGTTAGGAAGGAGTTTTCACAGTTGGTAACGACCCAATGGACTCTCTAGCTAATCCCTTGGCCTGAGCAGCATTTCTGCTTCACTGAAATGCAGAAGGAGGTGGAGCCTTCTTTCTTCTTTTTCTAAGCATGACTAACATTTTTTAGAATAAGCAACTAAGTGAGAAAGTTGGGAAACAAAGTCAGTCTTGTATTCCATGGCAAGGCTCAAAGAGCTGATTGGAAAAACAGGTGGCCAGGCTGGCTGGCTGGCAGGCGGGGCACCCACACCATCCCAGGAGTAGCTGGCATCCCATACACCACCTCCCTGTACCTAGCTCACTGTCAGATGGACGCCAACAAGGCCGACCATCACAGAACCACGGAACCTGATGGGGACATGGCCCTCAGCACCAGAAAGGGCATCGTTAACTCAAGGTGCTGGTGCTGGTGCTGCTGGGGCAGCTCACCAGCACTGCAACAGGCCCACAGGAAGGGCACTCGTGGACAGCAAGGGCGGAGGCCACCACCTGGCAGTGGGAACCTGGGAGCCAGAGCACCCCAGTGGGTGAACTCAGCCACTTCTCCATGCCCAGCCCCAGCTTTTCACCTGGAAAATGGCAGGGGAGGGAAGGGCCAATCAGATCCTTTTCAACTCTAAGGGTCCAAGATTCTGTTCTAGCAGCTCAATGTGAAAATGAACTAAAAATTGATGTGTTCTTGATTCTAACTAATAAAATAAACCAAATAAAATCGTGTGACCACAGCCTTTCAACCCAGCATATGCAACAGTGCTGCAGAACAGGAAGACTCCTTCCAGCCAGCCTCCACAGCGCAGCAGGAACACCCAGCCAGGAGGGTTCTAGAGACACGGTCACGTTTGCCAACATTACCGTTCTACTTTCACTCCCTAGTTTCTTTCATTGCCCCAACACTAAACTGATGTGTTTAAGTCCTTTAGCACATTTTAGAGCTACCTACTGAGAAATTCCTAACTGTGAGAAAAAAAATTCTAAATACTGAAGAATAAGTTTTAAAAGCTGAAACGAGTCCAGATAACTGGGGGGATCTCAACACTGTCTGGAGGGGCGAAGCCAACATGTGGACGTCAGCATCTTCATCATCTCTACGTTGTCTGCTGCTCTGTGAACAGCAAGGAACAAAGCAGGTGCAAGGCATGTTAGTGTCAACCAAGGAGGATATATGTATTCATATGCATAAAACTATGGAAGAATAGGCCCCAAACTAACAAAACTGGCCACCTCCCTAGGGAGAAGGAACGGAGCAGAGATGGTGAGTTGAGGAACTGTCTTCTTTAATAAACTGTGTTTAATAGTTCTGACTTAGGAAATTCATAAAAGTTCTCAGTATTTTAGAAAAGCAAGCCCTAAAAACCTAACAAAATGAAACCAAGATCCTCAATGTATATTAAGACAGTAGCTAAATTACCAAGAAACTCACCTCTTGTGGCCTTAAAGTTCAGCGACCTCAGTTCCCATGGACAGTGAGACACCCTAAGGAATGGGTGTTCTTCCAGGTAACCCAGAGTGTGGTGGTTCTATAAGACAAGTGGCCTGCTTCCTCAGCAAGTGGAAGAACAGAAGAACGAACAGACACTGTCAGAGACAACTTCTGCAATGACTATGTGAGTACTAGTCACTATTTAAATGCTGAGACCACTCAGATGCTAGATGACATTCAGAAGTTAGTGTTACCTTCCACCTGTTTCACTGGTCACATGGCCATGTAAAGGGGAAAAGTCCCTATTCCTTAGAGATATAGACAAATTCAGGATAAATGAACTGTTCTACTCAATGAGTTGGGGATCCCATGGATGAGGTATGTGGGGTGGAAGGCTGCCATATGGTGACGATTGAGAATGGACACATGGACTTTGGTACACTCCTGTACTTTTGTGACTCTTTAGAAGCAAAAAAAAAAAAAAAAAACCCAAAAAACAATTCCAGCAACAATTTGATGTACACACACAAAAAATGAGACGCTCCAAACTTATAAATGCTGCAGTCCCACACTTTCCATGGGAGCCACTGCCCAGGGGATACAGCTGTTCGCTGGTGGCTACACCCCCAATCTGTGAAGGCGAGACTGGCATCCACAGCTCCAAATCCAATAGGCTACTGTGGAGGTTTTTCAAGATGAAAAAATACCCAACAAAAACTTCAATTTAAAGAACTGTTGCTGGGCGTGGTGGTGCAGGCCTGTAATCCCAGTGGCTCAGGAGGCTGGCTCAGGAAGATCGAGGGTTCAGAGTCAGCCTCAGCAAAAGCAAAGCGCTAAGCAACTCAGTGAGACCCTGTCTTTAAATAAAATACAACATAGGGCTGGGATGTGCCTCAGTGGTCAAGTGCCCTTGAGTTCAATCCCCAATTACCCACCCCCCAATTGTCCTTATTTCCATTTTATTTCAGTTACTGTATTTTCACTAAAATTCCTATTTGTTTTTGGTCTTTATGTCTCCTATTTTTATTTATTTAATCCTGTCTATACTTCCTATGTCTCAAGAGTAGCTTTACTTCTTGGAATATTCTAATAGCTGCTTAGAGGGTTCTTTTAGCTGGGTGTGGTGGCACACACCTATAATCCCTGCTATGAGACAAGAGGGTCGCAAGTTTGAGGTCAGCCTGAGAAACTTAAGGAGATCCTGTCTCAAAATAAAAAGTAAAAAGGGCTGGGGGTGTAGCTTAGTGGTATAGTACTCCCGGATTCAATCCCCAGTACCAGAAAAATTAAATAAAAATAAAGAATATATATATTTTTTGTAGCCTTAACAAGTTATACCACAATTTAGCATCTTAAAACAAGCACTTTCTATCATCTCATGATTTCTGTGGGTCAGAAGTCTGGGTGCAGAGGGCTCACCAGAGTTTTTGGCTCAGGGTCTCAGGAGGCCGAGTCAAGGGTCAGCTGGCCAGGGGTCCTACCTGGGTGCTCTGAGGGAGAATGCCCCGTCAGGCTTGCTGGGTTCTGTGTGGGTGCAGGAATGAGATCTCTGCTTCCTCCTGGCTATCAGCTGCTGGTCATTCTCAGACATGCCTCAGTTCATAGCCCCTTCCATCTTCCTCCATCTCTCTGGCAGAAGGGTCTGCCAACCAGCTGGAAACAGACCCTGCTCCTAAGAGCTCGAGTAATCACATGTGCCCACTGGATAGTCCCGGCTGATTAGTTACAACTGTAAAGTGCTTTTGCTATGAACAGTAAAGGAGGTAAAGGTCACAGGGGTCACAATCCTGAAGACCACCTAGTCTGACACAGATCAACCCAACATTCTTATCACCTATACTTTCTCAGGAGAAGATTATTTTCCTGGTTCTTTTTTTTTTTTTAATATTTTTTTTTTAGTTGTAGTTGGAGACAATGCCTTTATTTTATTTATATATTTTTTATGTGTTCTGAGGATCGACCCAGCACCCTGCACGTGCTAGACAAGTGCTGCACCGCTGAGCCCCAGCCCCTTTCCTGGTTCTTTGTATGTATTCTGGACTGTGTCCTGGGCCTTTTGAACGTTCTGCTGTTGGACACTGTGGTTCTCATTTAACGCCTATAGGAAATGTTGGTATTCATGCTGAGCAGGCAGTTGGCCTGGATTGGTTCAGGGCACAAGTGCCAACCCGGTCTTCTGTGGAATGCGGTCTCAGTGTCACCCAATCTTCACAGCCTCAGCAGTATTCTCAGCAACGTCCCATTTGCCCAAGTGGCCAGCTGGCTGCAGGGCAGTGACCTATCTCTTGGTTTTCTGTTTCTAAGCTGTTTTCAGGGTGAGCCCACCCCCACCTCTGCACTGGATCTCACTTGTTCAGGGACCACCTAACCCAACCCCGTCTCTCTCTCTCCCTCCGGTCTCCCTGAGTACTTCCCAGTCCTCCTGACACAAATGTGGGACTTCACTTAACCTGCCCTGACACACTCTTTTTGTGACTGCACCTTGCCTGGGAAAGAACCGCAGGTGGGAAGAAAGGAAAGAAGCAACTGCCACAATACCTGGCAGGAGGCCCGGAAGAGGAGGGAAACGTGGCTTTCTCCCACCTGCTCGGCTGGAAGTCTTCCCTGCAGCCTTCCCAGTCCTCACAGCCTGAGTCCCAGCCAGGGCATGTGGAGGAGGACTGGAGCTCACTATGAGGTCAGCCTTCTGCAGTGCTGCTCCCCACAAGTCCAGGAGTCAGGGCTCGTCACTGGGAGGGCAGGGCAGAGGGTGCCTCCCACCCACATGCATTTTAAGACGTGTTCATGGTGGTGGTCACTGGAAGACGGAAGAAGGGGATTTTGCTTCCTTCTTCCCAATTTTCTCTTCCAATTGCCTTCAGTGATGGTTGGAAGCTGCCACAGGGGAACCGAGCACCCCTTCACCACTGTGTGTGTGTGTGAACTGTGGGCACTGAGCGCACAGGGTGGACTGAACCAGCGTCGCCGGGCCTCGCTCTGGTCTTTTCGCTTGCTCTGCCATGATCAATCCCCACACAGCTCATGAGACGGGTGTGGCCTTCCCAGATGTCAGTTGACCTGCTGACAGCAGACATCATGAAGCTAGACTCAACCCCCTGAAACCTGACCCCTGGCCTCATTTGAATGGCTTCTCCCCAATAAAAGGGTTCAGCACATGCTCTCTCACACTCTCTCTCTCTTTCCATGGACCCCTAAGGTCAGAGGAGCTGTCCCAGGACCCAAAGGTATCTCTGTCTTTTGTGTGGTTATTTTGTGCAGCCCAGTTCATCAGGAGTGACCCTGAGTGTTTGAGTCATGAGAAACGTGACAAGTGATAAGTCTGTTACTTGAAGCCAGATGCCTTCTTGCAGATGCTGGTAGCACGTGGCTTCAAGTCTAAACTGAGGGGTGCTACCTACATCATGCTCCTGCCTACCTTCCAGGGGAAGCAAGAGTAACCACCATGTCTGTAACACTCAGACAGTAGGACTTGTTCCCATTCAACATACCTCTTATTAACTACTACTGAAGAAACTAGAATTGTAATGATAGAGGGAGTAGATTTAGTAAAGCCTCATACTTTAAACTATTTCTAAAATCACACCCCTTTTCTGAAACATATTCTCACTGGATGCTCTAAGATGCAATACGTGCCATCATTCCAAACCACACTGGGCTACCTGGCTTCAAGCACAGGCATCTGAGTACAAGGCCAGTCTGGTTTGGGTCCCAGGCTTCACACATAGGCTCCCCCGAGGTCTTGGGGAGGCCCTGAGTCAAGCTCCACTGCAGTCACGCTGACTGCCATCAGTCACTCGCAGCTGCCTTTGTCCCTCTTCCCTGTATGCCAGGTAGTCTGCAGGGGAGGTTGGCATTCCTAAGGTCCAGCTAAGGGCACACTGAGGGGGAGCACATTTATGCTGTACGCAGTGACCTCTGTGCACATCTAAGGGATTACCAGTGCATGAACTTTTTGTTGCTATGACCAAGACACTTGACAAGGGTGACTTAGAGGAGGAAATGTTCAGTTTGGTTGAGTTTCAGAGGTTTAGCAGATGGTGGGCCAACTCGATGGCTCTGGGCCCAAGGGGAGGCAGAAAAACATGGTAGAAGGGTGCTGCTCTGCTCAAGGCAGTCAGGGAGCATAGAAAAAGGGGGAGGAGCTGTAGGAAAGGCGAGCCCTTTAGGGCAGCCTCTAGTGACCCACCTCCTTTGGCCAAGCCCTGCCTGCCCACAGTCACCCCTCAGTCCATTCAAATTAGGATGGACTGATCAGATTCGAGCTCTTACTTCTTAATCATTCACCCCTGAATATTCCCCCACACATACAGGCACTTTCGGGGAACACCTCACATCCAGACCTTAACAACCAAGGATACTGCTATCACCCCGCATACTACCAGGGCTTCATGACATGGTGCAAGGCCAGGGGTCCTGAGGTGACATGAAATGGGCCCGATGGCAACTGGCAGGAGAAGTGCATGGGCAGGGAAAAGAAGCCTGGGTGGACTGAATGCAGGAGCCAGATGCTCATCTGTGGACATCACCCTCCTCCAAGTGAACTGTAGCATACACGTCAGTTCTCCGTGGGCAAAACAGCGGTCTTTGATGTACAATTACCAGTACTACGTCTTGGATGTGCATTTTTTTTCTTCAATGAAATTGTGGAAAATAAATTGAATCAACTATGTTTCTGGAACTCAAGACTTTAGAAGTTACCACAAAAAACAAATGTTCTATATATGAAATAATGCCTTATGCATCCTAACAATAATAAAAACTCATCAACTCTGTTGGAGGAGTCAATGAAATCTGTTTTCTCACTGTCATACAAAAAGGCAACTAGTAACCCGGAGCCCAGAAAAAAGTATCATAGAAATACATCAGTTAACTATCAGACACGTCACTTTTCTCAATTATATCTGTATTACTGGTCAGCTTTTTCAAAACTGTACTAATGTATTTTTTCTCATGCTAAACAATGCATATTTTCTAGACTAATTTTTATTTGCAACTTTATATTTCCTTTTTAAAAAGACTACCCCCCCACCCTGCCAACTGTATGTGTTTCATACAGGGCCCAGAAACCTGATAGAATCTGAAATGCTTTTAAACATTTACTGAGCACCTTTTCTCAATCAAGAAGGACTAAGTGCTTAGGTGTTGAGGGCCACATCTGAGTCGGGGTGGCACCTGGCATTTTGCCAGAGGGAGTGGTTGAGAGGTGACACCAGCGAGCCATTGAGATGATGATGGTTAAGTTAAGCTGTGTCTTCAATTGTATATAGACCCCTGCTGTCCGCCTCGGGCGCGCCTGATACTTCAGAGTTCTCCCGGGGATTCCTGAGGAGTTCAGGTTGGTTGGTTGGTGAAGTTCCAGTAGCGGGAGTTCCGGCTTGGTGTGTGGTGTTCCTGGAAGGGCCGCGTGGGGAGTTTGGGCAATAAAGTAGTTCCTGTTTGAACCTACAAGTGCCTCCTGGCGGCTTGGTTATTTTGTGCCCAGCCAGACTGAGGCACTTAGGGATATAGGAGCTCCTAACAGAGAGTTCCCTCCAGTACAGTGGGCCAAGGTAAGGCAGTTGCTGAACCCGGAGGAAGCAACGGAGAAAGTAAAGCAAGGGTGGCAGAGAACAATCCCGCAGGTGGAAAGACTGGAGGAGGCCTCACCAAAAAGACCACAGGAAAGGCCTCAAGAATGTCCTGGCACTCCTGATGGCACCTACCACATCCTGAGGGGCCACCCCTGCTGGGAGCCCATGCCAAACCCTTTACTTACAATCTTTCTTACTACTGCTCACAATGACTGCACAGTTGGCTTTATTCCCACAGCTACAGCTCAAGGAACTCAGGCTCAGAAAAGTGAATGATTTGGTGCATACTCAGCTCCACAAGGAGCCTCAACCCCACTCATGGAGTGCACTGGGCACCCGGAGAGAGGTGTTTAACGCAGAGGCAAGTGGGTAAGCAACCAGTGCCACATGCCCACTGCAGTCCCAGACAGCCAAAAGAAAGGGGAAGGGGCCACTGCTAGCCTGACCTGCACTGGGAACAATGGAGTTCTTCCCAGGCGCTGCAGCGGGTCTGGGCCTCACAGGGATTGGGAAACCAGGTAGACAAAGGGCTCAGTGTGTGCACAGGCAGGTGACAGGCTGAGTGTGGTGGGGCCCCAAGACAACTGAGAGGACTGGGGTTGCAACCTGAGCTGGGCTGTGAGGACTCCAGTGGATCAGGGATGGAATCTAAGACATGAAGCAGGGTTTGCACCTGGGACGTGGCTTCTATTCTGAGAGGCAATCGGGAGAACGGGCTGGCCAAGGGAGGGAGGAGGTGAAGCAAGACTCATCATCGTACCCTACCACATTACTGTGCCCTTGTGCTTTTGAATTCTAAAATGGCAATGAACTAAAACACAAGTTTAGGGGAAAACAACCCTCTGACTAAAAAGCTTCTTACATCCCTAACTTCCTCCTGATCTTATCTATGTCCTCACATATTTTTTAGAACATAATAGTTACTGTATACCCCGTTTTACTTTTTAGGTTAAGGCTTATTTTTAAGCACATTTCTATGGATCAAAATGGTTTAAATTTTGCTTGAAGGAAGGACAGGAATGGGTTTGTCAAATTATGTTCACTGGTCAAAAAAATGTTGGTTCGCTTATCAGATTGTTTTCAAAACTGGGATTCCCAAAGCAAAATCTTGATCACATACTGCTAGTTGCTCTCCACATATACCAGACTAGAATCACCAACATAAACATTCCCCAGAAAACTGCAAGCACTGGACTTTACCATATTAAGTTCTGTGGGACTCAGCTTCTCAACCTCCTTTGTCAAGGATGAAACCAGACAAAGATACTAATAAATGACTTAACACATCCTGATCTTTTTTTTTTTTTTTTGGTACTGGGGATTGAACTCAGGGGCACTCGACCACTGAGCCACATCCCCAACCCCATTTTGTATTTTACTTAGAGACAGGGTCTCAGTGAGTTGCTTAGCGCCTCACTTTTGCCAAGGCTGGCTTTGAACTCTAGATCCTCCTGCCTCAGCCTCCTGAGCCACTGGGATCACAAGCTTGCGCCACGGTGCCCAGCAACACACCCTGATCTAAACAATGGAGTTCTGCCTGCCAGGGGGCACTAGGTTGTATGTACAAAGCTTGTGGTGAGTGAGTAAAAGGGGAAGCAGGTGAACTGATAGGTGAGCTGGTGAGGGGAAAAATGCACAGAGTGAAAATGTAAGCCGTATAAGAGAAATGTGTACTGTCTGGTGTGACCACAGGCAGGCCTCTTTGGAAAGAAAGAAGGAAACAGAATTCCTTGTGACCAAGTGGATTTAAACAGGCTCTTATGGAATGATCCATGCATTAATCTTTGCTTTGGCAACTGTGTTCCTATCTTCCCTCTAAGCAAGGTAACTCAATTCTATGATTTTTCAACGTTTTTTTTTCCTTCTCTTTTGGTAAATAACCAGGGTTAGCCAATTCTACTGTCTACTCAGATGATTTTTTTTCACAATTACTGACATTTATTAAGCATCTACTATGTGCCAGGAACAATGCTTATAGATTTTTAAAATCGACTCTTACTCTTCACAAAGACCCTGTGTGGCAGGTAAATTTTGCACTAATTTTATGGATAAGGCAGGAATCAATTAATATATCTTATGTCAACTTCTTCTTTGGGAAAAGAACGGATAGAAAGGAACCTACTGGCCTATTAAGAACATCCCTGCTATGTACATGAGCAGAAAATTCTGCAGTTCAGCCAAACGCACTGTCAGCACCCAGTTCAGGAGTGGCAGCCAAGTGGCGACCAGCCGGGGCAAAGGAAGGGCACAGGAGATCCAGAGATGGGTGTCGCCTGGCTCTGCAAACACCCCAAGGTGCCACCCTAATCCTGCTAGTCCACTTCTCTGAGCCTCCCTTTCTTGTACTTTAAAAAAGGATTGTGAAGCCTGGGCATGTCTCCTTGGAACACTCTAGGTGAACCGCCTAAATAACAGGCACCCGTTCTACACATGTCTTCTGGGGTGCAGGGACTCACAAGCACGTCACCAGGCCAGAACTGAAGGTCACTTCCTCTGTGTGTTGCCACCGCAAACATGCTCTCCCATATCTCTGGCACTGAGAAAACGCGCCGCCGGTTACACCGCTGTCTACCCAGGCCGCGGGCAGGCACCTAACATTTCCACAGCGTCCTCAGGGTAGCAAACAAACGCCCTTTCAAGACGCGGCCCTGGGACGCGGCCTTCCCACGGTGTCTCAGCGCTGCGCACTGACATCACTTCCTTCCGTGACACCGCAGCCCCACTCCGCGGACACACAAGGCCCACAGACGCTCGCGCCGGTGACCCTGACCTTTCAACCCGGAGGGAAGGCCGCTCGCCCTGAGGGGCTCCACCTGGGGCTCCTGGGGGCCGCGGGGGACAGCACGGCCCCGGCCCCGCCCCGGGGACAGCGCGGCCCAGCGGGCAGCCCCGACAGACCGGTCTTGCCCAGAGGGACCCCTGACGAGCCGCCGCGCCTGCGAAGGCCTCAGAGACGGGCGTGCACTTTCCCCGGCGGCCCGCGGGCCTGCCTAGGGCCTCGAGCCTCGGCCTCCGCCGCCCGTCCGCTCAGCCAGGCCTAGCTGGCCGGCCCGCGGCCCGGCCCGCCGCCCTCCCTCCGTCCGTCCGTCCCTCCCGCGCGCGCCGCGTCCTCACCGGGCCTGCCAGGCCTGCGCCGCCGCCCGCTCTCGACCGCTCAGCCGCCGCCGCCCCCGCGCCCCACGCCCAGCGCCTCACGCCCCGCGCCGTCCCGCCCCCGCTGCGGACGCGCAGCCGATTGGCCCGCGGGGCGCCGGGGCGGGGCTGGAACGCACGTCGAGCGCGGCACCCAGTTCTGATTGGCAAGGCGACGGGGAAGGGGCGGGACGAAGGGGACACCGCGGTCGGCCGCAAATCTCGGCCGAGCGTTGGCTCGCTGGGCGGGACCTCACCCAGGCGGGGCCTCGGCGAGAGTGGACTCGGACCTGGGCGGGGCCTCGGCTCAACAGACGGATTTGGCGCTGGGCTGTGGGTCTCCTCCGGCTAGACCCTCCTAGCTTCCCCACCCTCTTCCCCAGCTCTGGCCGCCAGCCTCCTTCCTAACCCAGTCCCGGGGCACCCCTCTGGGGCCACTGGACGGTGGCCCAGGGATAGTTGCAGCCACTGAAGGGCAGCACAGAAGACAGGCCGCGCGTCGACGGAGGCCTGAGATACTGCCACGGGGACCTGCAGTCGCCCTCTGGCCTTGGGATCCCCACCAGGGAGTAGAAATGGAGACCAGACCCTCAGTCTTCTATGCCTGCGACTCACAGCAGCGCTCTTCTCCCTGGGGATTAATTAACATGGCAGCCTTCAAGATCTTGCCCAAACTTGCAGCTGTCCTCGCACTTATACAGTCAAGGGACTTAATCCAGGGGCCACCTGCAAGCTTCAAGTGAGTGCTCCGGCTTTGTGAGGGAAACCCAACCATTTCCCCCAGGACAAGATGGGAGGAACGGGGTCCGAAGACCTGAAGGATGCGTGGAAATTGCTGAGCGGTCCGATTACCCCAGTGTCCCCCATGGCCAGAACCACTGCTCCAACCTAGTGACATAGCTGGCTCTGGCTGTGCTGGCAAAAGGGAAGGTGAGGAAGGGGTGAAGGAGCCAAGCAGGCAAGGAACCCGAATGGCCAGAGCTTCACTACTCAGGGACTCAGTGTGCCACTCAGGAGGAACTGGCAGGAGGACAGGGGCCGAGCAAGCCCTCAGATGATGGGGGTCAGTGAGCTGCCCATGGGGCTTGAGGCCTGGGCTTGGAGGCACTCAGCCACCCAGACCAGGATCAAGTCCAGGTTTCCAAAGTTTCCTTCAATAAAGTTGTAGAGAATTCACAGTATATCTCTTAAAAACGTACAAGAGCCAGGTGCAGTGGTGCAAGCCTGTAATCAAAGCAGCTCTGGAGGCTGAGGCAGAAGATTGTAAGTTCAGAGCCAGCCTCAGCAACAGCAAGATGCTTAACAACTCAGTGAGACCCTGTCTCTAAATAAAATACAAAATAGGGCTAGGGATGTGGCTCAGTAGTCCAGTGCCCTGAATTCAATTAAAAAAATTAAAAAATTGCCATAGAAATTTCTTCTTGGATACTTTCCCAATAGTCATCTATCTCTACAGTTAGTAATAGTTACTGCTATATCTTTTGATACAACGTGTCAGTGACCACTTATCCATCTTATCAGTGCTAATTCTTACCAGGTGATCTCCTACTGTCTGTACAGATGATCTGATCACCTTAAATAGTTCCTGTACAGTCCACCTTCTTTTGGGCTGGGATCTCTAATGTGAAGTTATCCGGTGCAGATGCTGTTGATAGAATTCTATCAGCTTCATGATTTATACACAGATGCTTTGGGGGCTTTGCATAGTCCCCCCAAGACCTCACGCCTTCCCTTGTAAAGAAGCAGTGATGAGTACTATCAATATTTAAACAATAGTGCTTTATTTTAAAAAAAGGTTAGTTTAAATGCATACAAAATTGCTGTGTAAATTGATCTCAAAAATATTTCTATAGGTAAGATTATCTCAGTAAGAGCAATTATCTAGTAGAAAAAGTGTATGTTTAGATTTGGACAACAAAATAAAATCGGATTCAAAAGAGTGACACCCTGTAGACCTCCTGGCCCACACCCCACCATCAGGTGGCACCTAGCACTAAGCAGCATTTTAACCCAAACACACAGGGCTTACACTGCTTGAAAATGCTTTTAGTAACTTTTTCCATAACTGTCAAGATAACCCAGATCATCAACTGCCTTCCAGTGGTCTGGAACTGATCATGATAATGTGAGGGGCAAAGCAGGCGGGAAAACGGAGCCTGCTTTGCCCTACAAAACACCTTCATAACCAGCGTTTTGACCATCACATCTTTTTTTTTCTGGCCAAAACAAAACAAGCCCTCCCCCCAAATCACTTTCTCTCATCAAACACTTTCTTCAGTTCAACTCCTCCTGTTGCAGCAAAATGAAAAGACTGAGCTGGCTTGCTCCCTCTGTAACCGTCATCTCTTGTCCCATCCCTCTGGGGTCAACTCTCCTGGCGCTGGGACAAGTGGAGAGAAAGTGTCTGCTGAAGAGTCCCACTGGCAGCAGGAGGAATGGGAAGGGCAGGAAAGCTAAGGCCCCACGCACAGCAGGACACCCAGTGTAACTATGGTGGACACCTGTCTAGCAGCCTGCAGGACAGACTTGAAATGCCTTTCATTCTAACACACAAGATGAAGGAAAGACGATGGCTGAAAATAGGTGAGACAGTCATAATGACCCCGATTAACCATTGCTGAGGTGGGTTATTTCACACTTGCAGTTACAGAAATACATGAAAGTGCAGTATAAAATGTCTAAAAAATTGGATTCTTTAAAAATTTTTTCTAATTTAGGTGAGAAAAAATAATTTTCTGACTCTCACTGTGCCAAGAAGCTTGCAGCAGCACAAAGCTGGGGTTCACTGCTGCGCTCTCCACAGTGTAGCCCAGCAGCGTCTCCAGCGCCTACAGGACAAGTGTCCACAGGGAGTTCCCTGCACAGGTGTTAAAAATGACCTAGCATCAGAATCCAAAGTGCTCTTCAAACCCACACCTAAAGCCTGTTTTTAGAAGTTGTTCAAGTGTAAATGTACTCTTTAGGTGACTCTGTTTTCTACTTGGTTAATAGATAAATGTGCAGATTAACAGTATTGAACTATAGCAGCAAAACTGGTTTTAGGTGTTTGTTGTGCACAAATATAAAATGAAGGAAGAGTCTCCATGTGGAGCGACTGCACAGCTTTCTGTCACAGGCACACGTCTACCACCAAGGAACACTCCTGGTAAATCTGAATGTTCTAGATGTCAAGAGTGCTCAATGACTAATCAGGCCAACTAAATCAAGGGAATTCAATATTAATTACACACTCTGATACTTGGAAATCAATTCTAATATTAGTGGTTAGTTAAGGAAGAAAACAAAAGTGAGCGTTTACCTCATGAAGTATAAAGTATAACATAGCAGTGAAATACAAATGTTAAAAGTACTTCATACAAAACACACCAATAGTTTAAAAAAATTAAATTCTCAGGCACAGGTATTGTAAATGTGGATGGGCACCCTTCTAAGGATCTTATGGAAAGTTGCGATGTGGCATTCATCAGGAATGTGTTCTTCTTTGTATCCAAAAGTGTTTTCTGGAAAAATAAAACAGATTTAAGAAGGAATGAAGCAATGCTTGCTGCTTTGGTCACAGACAATACTATTTCTTTGCACATCAAAGGGCACAGATTGAGCAAAAGGATGGGCTTATAAGACCCGAGTTATCTAAATCAAGATGTCAATATGCTGAGTGTGGGGAAGCACTCCTGTTATTCTAGCAGCTCAGGAGGCTGAGGCAGGAGGACCACAAGTTCAAAGCCATCCTGGGTAACTTACAAAGGCCCTAAGCAACTTACCAGGACCCTGTCTCAAAATAAAATGTAAAAAGGGCTGGTGGTGTGGCTCAGTGATTAAGTGCCCCTGGGTTCAATCCCCGATATCAAAAAAAAAAGGCATTTGTGAGACTCTTGGAACGTGGAAGCACTGAAAAACTGAAAAATACCCAGAGGGCTGGGGATGTGGCTCAAGCGGTAGCGCGCTCGCCTGGCATGCGTGCGGCCCGGGTTCCATCCTCAGCACCACATACAAACAAAGATGTTGTGTCCCCCGAAAATTAAAAAATAAATAATAAAAAATTCTCTATCAAAAAAAAAAAAACCCAGAAATGAAAATGTCCACGACCTCATAAAGTTTCTACAAGGGAAGCAGCCAGACCAGAGACCACAAGCAAGCACTGTCATTTCCTCCTGCTCAAGGGAGTCACTCCTGGAGTCCTGGCTTCTCTCCATGAGTCCTCGCTCTGGTCAGGTGAAACCCTGGTCACACAGAGCCAGATTTTGGAGGCAAGAGCCCTGTTCTAGTGAGATGCCCGTAGGCTAGGCACGTCAG